GTACAGGAAAATGTGGTTTGAAATGTTGCCCTTGATGAAATATTTCAAGGTCATTGAATCGTTTTAACGTCTCTGGGACGTATGCCTAAGCGACTGGCTGCCCTTATAACGAACCTTCGGCAGAAACGTGGACCAATACGATATCAGGGAAAGTGAATAAGGATCTCTGCTGGGAGAAAGTCCTTTCCTCTTCCTCCTCGTCGGGCAACGCTTCATTTTATTCTGAAACGTCGTTATCGCGCGTTACTCGAGACGTAACGCTCATGTTCGAGGCTCGTAAACACCGTTACCGCATTTCCTTACGCGCATCCCCGTTTCGCTACTCGCTGATCGCTCATTTTTTCCCAAACGAGATATGCCTTCTTGCTCGGTCTCGCGAGTCGGAGGAGTCACGTGCGAGATCTGTTCGACAGGATCGAGAGGATAAATACAATTAGACGTCCCTTTTGAGCGGACGAGCTTGAGTGCTCGCGAGTAAATGAAGTACAATTACGGGAGTTATACTCATCACGGGTCGTGCAGACGCATTTCCTCGGGGGAAATGCACGATGGAGCCTGCGACGACACAACCCGACCATGCCGCGTTACAGTTTTCTGCAGTGTAACAGAGAAATAATACCTCTGCGAGTTGCATTTCTATAATCGTTTCCTCGTTTCGCAATAACTTTCCATTTTGCGACATAGCCCGTTGTTGACGTTCTTCTCCCGTTGTTCCCGCGAGAACACTGTGCTCCCGTTTGATAATCAACACGCTTCGAGTTTGTAAGTTTAATAACCAACGCGACTGTGTAAGTTCGATAATCAACGAGACCAAGTCTGCGAGTTGAATCCGTGTACAACGCGATGCAAAATTTATAACATAACCGAGCTTATAAAGTTGGTACGTGTCATAATGAAATTTGTAATTGAGATAGTTAACACACCCGAGCCTACAAGTTGAATGCGCAGCATGATCAAATTGTAAGCGTAATAACTAACCTGGCCAAGCGTACAAGTTTCATATACACGATAGAGTCTATAAACATAGTGATCGAGTCCATAAATTTGATAAATGACGAGATAAAACTTACATGTTTAGTAACTAATGTATCCAAAGCTATGTGTAATGAGCAGTCATAAAATTCGTAAGTGTAACACAGTCAAGCTTGTAAATTTAACGTAGAATATGGTGAAACTTACAATTGCGATGACCAACATATACAAAGTCATAAGTTTAATGTATAACATGGTCGAATTGTAACTATAATAACCAACATGGTTAAGTTTACAAGTGTGCTGTACGTGACTAAGTTAGTAAATATAGCAACGAAGTCTATAAACTTACAACTTTGATAATTAACACATGCAGGCTTACAAGTTACTATACAGTATCGTTGTAGATAGAGTAAGTAACGTAGCATGTCTACAAGTTTAACATACAACGTTGCTGGACCTATAAGTACAATAAATGACAAGATGAAACTTATAAGTCTAATAATGAGCGTATCCAAGCCTGTGAGTTTAATATACAGTAGCACCAAGCCTATGAGTATAGTAATTAGTATCACATGAATATTCCACTGCAGACAACTAACAGTATAAGTCTAAGATTATAAATTTCACACGCAATGTGATCAAACCTTTAAGTTCAATAACGAACTAGTAGAATGTGGACGAAGAATTTTAATTGTGTAATTTCTCGAATGAAATCACAGCGTTTGTTATAACGTGCAGGGAAGTAACCGTGCACGGTTGTAAAATAACAGATATATAAAGATTAATACTGGTGAAATATATACACTTACGCAGATACAAAAGGAAGAAGAATAAACGTGTCTTAATGATTAAAATATTACAATAACTCAATGCGCTTTGTGCTGATCCGGGCTTGATACAACTTGTTCTGAAAACAGCAATTTTAAATCCAAAAACCAAGCACAGGGCCCCTTGTTGCCTACATAGTACCGAAGGTCCTTGAAGGCCAAAAATTCCTATTTTTTTTTTTTTAACGTGCATTTTATGTGCCATAAAATAGATACAAAAATATACATAAAAAAAGGACCATGGAGGGTCAGAAATGAAAACGTATATTATGAAATCTATGGCACTAACGTGAAGCTCTCGCATCTTAAAATTAGACTTAAATTACTGCGCTTATGGCTTTAAAATTATATACACGTAAGAACTACCTTAGTTATCTATAACTATATAGTTATATATTATTAACTATATTACTTAACGCGAGTATAGTTACGTATACAGCTTACGTATAGGCCAAAAATCGCCATTGGCCTGCAACGCCTAGTAGAACCGACGCCATTGTTGATTTATTACAAATTTAAACAAATTTAAAGTATCACAAATGTCACGGAGAAGTATTTGGGAGAAGTATCTTTAGAAAGACAGTCACGTATATAAACGAAAACACACGACCACCCATGGTTTTTGATGGATGTGCCCGAATATTTCTTAGAAATGGGTGTACGAAATAAAAATGACACGGTAATAAAGAACAAAGAAAGCACGTGCAAGACTGTACGAATAAGAATATACGTGCTCGAATCGCACTTGGAGGTTAGTTTAAAAATCGTGTAAATAGAGCCACGAAAGTGACAGGTGGCATTGCAAGATTATCGTAGTCGTTGAACGCGTAGAATTAAACCACAAGTTCATCATAGTCCAATTAGTTGTACTCATATCTACTTAATTATACGCTAACAAACTGTCCTCTCCACTTATCGCCACATAATCGACATATCCGAGCATACAAGTGAAATAAAATGGCCGGCACTTTTGAACAACACCTATCAATAGTCTGTTCAAAGACCAGAACCTGCGCTCGCGTTTAACGATCGACGCTATCATCCTAATAAACGGGTTGTAGTCAAGTACAAGCTTTTTGAAACGGTTCACGATGCCTGGAACTTTCTAACGATCGGGCAGAATCGTGAAACGTTTACGCAATTTCCTTCCGTCAATGGCGTTGCTTTCGAGTACGCTCGATTTAATTAAACCTCGGGACTGATAAGCTATCGGCAGTTTATCCGCTGGATCTCGGGGGACGACAATGAGATACACCAGGTAGCTGCTCGACCTCGTGATCACCGGGGAAGAGGAGTAACGGCGTTAAGCGGGCTCGGGTGAAGGCGCCACGTAGACAGATGAGAAGCGCGATCGTTATTACCGTTGCATCTGCCTCTGCAGCCTGACTTCGACGACATTATCGAAAGGTCAACATAGGACTGGTCGTCTCTGGACACGAATCACGAACATATCCACGACGAGGTGCACTTTTAAAAGTCACTTGCACGTAATGGGCAAAGTAGGTTCTCGGGTCACGAGGATGTGTAATATACCTGATCTTATAATAGCCGTGCATCTCGCAGCGCGAATATCGGTTAATTAATTAGCCCCTGTGAAGATGCCTGTTAATCGATCGTACTCGGTCGCACGAAAACAGGTATTGGGACAATGGGGGGCATATCGTGGCGATCTCGGGACGCGTTTAGGCTTCGCGCGAAGAAATACTCTCGACGTTACCCTTAGGAACAGTCGTGGCTTGGCTATAGCGGTCGTATACCGTGGTAGAGGTCGAGCGAAACGGGAAATTCTCGGTGGAATGTGGTCCCTGTCAAGGATTACCGGTGAATAGGACATCTATCATTCACGATCCTCAATTAAATGTCATCGGCTCGATGATACGTGCTAGAAGCTATGCTCCGAATGTATACGCTTGTCAAAAACACGCAACCTGTTCGGGCCCGAAATAATTCTCGCGCGCCTTCTAGCCCCTGGACGACTACCTTTCTCGATTTCTCGATTTCTCGATTTCTCGTTTTCTCGAGTTTGCTTCTCAACGTCCTCCCGTGTTATCAGACCGGTGACGCGACTCGGATGGTCTTTGCGAGTGAAATGCTTCTCGCGAAGGCTTCAAGGCCGACGAGATACTGCCTCTCACTTTCATACCTCTCGCGTATACACAAGAGGGCCTCGTCGGGGCCTGCCTTTCCCCTCTCCTCTCTGCTTCTTGTCCCATTGCCGCCCCTTCTTCTCCATTTTTCCTACCTATCATCCGTGTCCTATTCTTCTCTCGGGCTCCTCTCGCCTACCCGATCGACTCGTTCATCGTCTCCTTCGACCGACAAAATATTTACCATTTTCTTCCACTCGCCGTTCTCGCTGACCTAACCGTTTTACGGTCAAAACGCTCGTTTTGCGGTTAAATATAACGCGAATCGCGAATGCGGCAGCTCGCACAATGGAAGAACAGCGCGCGCGAGGCTGTTTCAGGCTGGTTTCAAAGTTTTGGGAGTGGTATATGCGCGCGCGCAAGATGTATAAAAGATGAGAATGCGAGAGTGCAGATAGAGCACGCCCTCGACATTCCAAAGTCGCTCGTTGGAATTTCTCCAGCTTACATCCTACACCGTCCCCGTGCCTATGTAAATACGTCGGAGAAAAGTGACTTACGAGATAAGTATCGTCGTCGCGTTAGGCGCCGAGCGATTCCTAGACTCGTCAAGGTTAGCCTCCTCGTGGAACACCCACGAATCGGCGAGATCTCGAAAATTCCGATAAAATTCCGACTCTTTTCCCGGTTTCTTTGGTGTCTCGCGCGCCGATCGTATATCCCCAGAGACGTCTGTGTTTTCAAAAATTTTTATTGTATTAATTTACATTTATACAGTAAGTACCTTGAGTATTCGGTGAATGGCAGCCTTCTTCTATATACATGTCGCAGTTTTCGAATGTACTTCTCGATTAGTACGCAATGTACGATATTACATCGATCGTTTTACAAGATTCCACGCGTCTTTAGCGGGTTCCGTGGCGTTGGAATTTTTAAATGCGTTTCGCTCGAGGAATTATTAAAGAGAAATTGTCGTTACAAGTGTCGCGTGTTTGTCCGGAAGAGAAAAGAAAGAAATTTCCGTCGCCTCGAGGTCGATCCCTGAAATCGGATTTTTCCACCCCGCGTTAGTTAAAGGAAGCGGGCAAACTCGCGTTTTCTCACAATCGATCTATCCTCTACGATAGGGCTTAGGTTTCACTTGGACCTCCTCCTGCTGAGTCTCCTCGACCTCTTCCTGCACAGGTTTGCCTCCCCTGGACCCTCCGAACCTACCACGTCCCGAAGACTTGCTCTCGCTGGCAGCGTTGCTCTTATTGCGGCTGTGCGTGGTTGCTCTGCAAGGAACATCACCCTCGTTACATTCTAACCTTCGAATCTAGAGTATCACCGTGACTCGAGAAACGATAAAACGAGTTCGTTACTTGGATTTAGGCGTTGTCGAGTCCGAGGCTGTCTGAGTACCAGAGGGTTCCCGATGAGCAGTGGGTCCTACTTGGGCTCTCCTTCTCTTGAGCGCTGCCAGCAGATCCTGGTTTGACCTTAAAGCGACAGACATTTTACCTCGAGTAGGCAAGGAGGATCTTTGACAATAGGGGCGAGCAATTACCTGAACGGTCTGACTCCACCGCGAACTTTCTTGGAAGATTCCGTTGTCGTGGTGGGAACTTCTTCCTGCTGCTCTTGATCGTCCTCGAGCTCTTCCTCGCCTTCCTCCTCGACCTCCACCGGTTGCTCGATCGCCTTCGCCGTAGTCGATTGTGCCTGCGAAGAGAGAATCTCGTTATCGAGCAAAGAACTTGGAAGGACGTCTCGCGTTAAACTCACGGTTCCGCCTGCTGGCGATTTTCTTCCAACGTTTACTCGACCTCTCGAAGACAGCAGTCCTCCAAGTCGGCCGGAATTCGACCTAGCCGGGGCTGGGGTGACCGGTGCTGCCGGCTCGTCCTCGTAGTCGTACTCTTCCTCCGCTGACCTGACCGCGGCTATCAGACAGCTGATCGCCACCAATCTAGAAAATCATAAATGCCTTTACTCGAGCCTGTCCACCGTTTTCCTTCGTTCAGTCGCGTTTCCACTGCAGCGTGGCAGGAAATGCAGATACCGAGGTCGAATAGCGAAGATATGGACGACAGTGAAAGGTAGCGTGGCGGTCGTGGAGGATTGCTCAGTGCTAGGAAACGCTTTCCTCCTCGACGAGCGCCAGCGAGCCGAATAATAGAGCGTAACAGGAAGTCGGCTCTTCCTCGATCGAGACTCGATCGAGACTCGACCGATCCTCGATCGCGTGTTTAACACACCGTGCGATCTTCAGCCCCGAGGGCACGTTGCTAATCCGGCGTGCTACGATTTCTCGATCTCCGACACAGCCAGACCCCTATCGCGATCGGTCCGAGGCTCTGGCGAAACGGAACGAAACGAAACGAGGCAACGGTGTGCACGCGTGAATTGCACCCGGGGATCAAGATAGAAAATACTTTTCCCAACAACGTAAAAGCCAACGAACCTGCCGTATCTCCCTCGATCGGCGAGAAATCCGCGACAACATCTCGCAGCTATTTTTATCGAGCAATTTACTTTCGACAAGGTAGTACTAGCTAACCGGGTGATGAAAGCGAAGGCGAATTGTTCGCATGGAACGCGTTCATTCATATGTAATGTTGTATCGTTACATCGCGATACATATATCGAGGACGAGAGAACGGGACGCGCGCAGGTTTGGCCGCGAGCAAGCGTGTTAAAAGGCCTGTCCCCTAAAGGAATCGGGGCTCGTTTCGCGACTCGTTGACGCGTCGCTGGCAGGACACTCGGTTCGTCCATTCGGCGGTGCAACTTTCGCCAGGATCGAAAATAGAATCCGAGGACGTTCCTCGTCCTCCCGCGTTAAGTGGGATCGTGTATACGGGGATCGTTACGTAGGATCGCTGGACAAAACCGGCGTGCACCGGGGCCCGATACCCGCGCTGCATGTTTGTCGTTGTAGATCCGCGTACACCAGCTGGATTTTGACCTGTGACATTCACGTACGAAACTCACTTTCTCTGCTTGGCTCGTGCAACTCGCGCTTACTATACCAGCATTGGCCGCGCCGTTACGACGGACCCCTCTCGTACGAGGAATACGCGAGTACGTGAGACGGCTGACAAATGTCACGAAAACTAGCCAAACTCCTGGCTCCGTCTCCGCCGTCCCGTTCACCGAAAAATCCTGGCCCGTTTCGTTTGGAAAAGCGGGCAGGCTCGCGCGAGGAATTCGTAAATTTGTTTTCGCAACGGCAGCGTCTACCCGTGGAATTTCGAGTTTCCACCACCGGTCGATTAACGGGGAAAACGGTGTGAAACGACTGCACGGTCAAAGGATTAGGACTACGGTTCTTTTTGCTTTCCTACGACCGGCCTTTGTGTGTACGTCCTGACGCAATTTCGGCGTCCGCTCCGGCAACCGTGGTCGCGATTGTGACATCGGCGTTACGGTTGTTCGTTTTCGTGGTTGCTCGTAAAAAGGAAGATATTCCTCCGTTCCCGAACGATATTTCGTGCTCACGTTGTTTCGTCACGCGCGGGGAGAAATCACGCGTCGTAATGGAGTCGATGTTCCGGTGGTATGGAAAAGAGAGGAAAAAGGGGGATAAAAATGATAGACGTTGCACAAGTGGCGATAGACGAAACACGTTCGTGCAACGTTTTCCGCGCGAGATGCTGCGCGAAAATAATGTCAAGGAAAGGCAACGGTACACGGGAACGAGCCGCGACGCTAGAGACATCTAGGATCCTAGTTTATTCACGCCGCTGATAGCCGCGTTCTCTGATCGATTTCCTGGTTAAGAAACAGGATCGAACGCTCCTAGCCGCTGTCAACGTTTGCATAACGCGATTTTCTCTGTCCTCTTATTACCCGATCGCACTCGATGGCCGTTGAAACGCCTCGCTCTTTCGCGAACCGATAGAAATTCGCGCCTGCTCGTTAGGCTCCCTAGCACTGCAACTGTTATGAGCGAGAGAGGTTCTGGCGAATATCGATTCCGGTTACGGTAAAAACTATCGCTACGTTGCTCTGTTTCTCTTCGGCATCTGTTTAAAACGTATATGTGTGTATCGGGGCTCATCCCCTCCACTTTTCACTACATTTCCTTCGGTGTCTGGAGCTCGAGCGAAATCTAAACGGCGGTTCGGGAAGGAAGATAGCGAGAGTCCCTTTCCATTTGTTTATAGAGTAGCGCGGTGGAACAGTTCGGGGAATCCGTTATTAGAAATCGGAATATTACGTTTATCCACTAGCACTAGTTACTTTTAGCGCAATTACCTCGAATTTGAAAACGAAATCGAAATCGAAATTCGTTAATTCCGTTGAAAGACAGAATCAAAGGGTCAAGATTCGTAACTTTCGATAAAAATGATCGATGATAATTTTTAACGACGTTTCGAGTAGAAAATTTCGACCTCGAACTCGAAAATGTAAATTACGAAAATCGTTGAGGAATACGATACAGGAATTTTGAATCGGTGACCGATTAATGCGCGATGAAACGGCCTTGAAACGATAGAGGAACGTTGGAGAACTAATCTAGAACCGATACGGTAACAGGTTGTGGATTCCGTAACCGGAATCGATATCGAATCTTTTTCATTCATAACAGTCACATTTGAGTTTTGCACGATTACGTCGAGAACCGGGAGAGACGCGATGACCGTTTTCGGTTGGGAAATGTCAGAGACGATTGATTTCCACGCGCAATGATCACTTACGACAGATACCGAATACCACAGGGTACCGTTGGAAACGATAGCCGAAGCTAAATACACCTTTCGATCGAGTACCGAGGCTTCGATCGGCCTTGATTCGAAGTTCTCGAGGTGGCGACAGTTGGTCGGGCAAAACGCGAGCAGCGTTCGATTTAATCCAACGGGCACACTCGTATAACGCTGGAGAAAATGGGCCGGATCGTCTCGCACGAATTTCTACTCGAGGGAGCACGCGCCCGACACGCTCGAGACGTCGCGAGGATTGCTGGTTTTCCTGTTGCTTGTCTAGAATCGTAGCACGAGTCGCGGGGAAAGTGGTCGCAAAGATTCGCGCAAGACTGGGTAAAAGGCGAAGAAAAGGTTGGATAAGCGCGAATAGAGGGATCCGCGGTGTGATACTTACGCGAATATCGCGAGCCTCATGGTGGTTGGTAGGTGGAATGGCCGTGGACAGTTGTTTGACGAAGGAACGAAAAAGCTGGTTCCGGAAGCTGCCCTTCTGCGCGTGCAACGTGGAAACGTGGATCGGCCGACTGTTACCACGGGCGCGAAGCCGCGAAGAATGAATATCGGAGCGGTGTAGAGGGAACCGAAAGCACACCACTGCAATCGCGGAGGCTGTGTACTTTGGAGTGCCGAGTCGAGTTTCCCCTTCTCTCTATATATATATGACTCTCTCACTCTCACTCTGCCAGCAAACCACCCGTGCCGAACCCATCCACCTATCGTGTATGTGACTTTGATATATCCTTCGCGATACCTGCAAACCACGCGATATCCACGCCATTGTTCGCGTTCATGGAATTCCGACCGGCGAATCTTCCTCGCATCCCGGACAATATTCTCTCGAGTACTTCACCATACCGATACTCCGCCGTCCCCCTCCGCGAAAATCGCCGCGTTTCCGGCTTTCCTAGTCTACAGTACCCTTGGTACAAACGCGAGGAAGGTTGAACTTTACGCGACTTGCGCGGCTACCATTTTTATTCCAAGCGGATTTTATGTACGAGCCGTATAATTTGCAGCGTCGCGTTGCCGAGAGAATTTGAAAACGCGATTGGTAACACAGAGGCGACTGAACGGATCGAACCGAGCGCCGATCGATTCGATCGTCCCCCGAAACGAACGAGTCGCTCTGCTTAGGACGTGTTTTATAGTTAGATCGAGCGTAAGCAGTGAAAGTGAACGACACGGACCTCGTATATACCTGTCTGTAGGCAAGAATGCCAGATACCCACTGTCGTCCCGTGTGTCCTACCTTCGTTTCCTTTCTTTATCTTTTTACTCTCCCATCTTTCCATGAGAATCCTTCTTGGTCTCTCCAGAGAAGAATATTCGCAGGAATATTCGCAAGAATATTCTCTGGCAGACATGAACAGTCGTATTTTGCGAAACGTTGGACGATAAAGAATCGCCGAGTCTGCCATTTCCTTCGTATGGAACGAACGGAAACTCATTCGGGGACGTGATAAATTTCCAACAAGCTAAAGAAAGCATTCTCGATGGTCTTGTTAGCTAGACAGCGCGATTATCCTTGAAATTCCACCGTGTCGTCCGAAGAGGCCGCAGCTGCATGACAGAAAAGTTATTAACGCGGATGCTCGACGGTTTGCTTGCTTACCGAGTACTATTTTCACTCTTGAGGTCTCCCCTCGATCCTCGGGATTTACCAAATACAGCTAGGCCCCGTTCCCGACGTGTTAATTCGGTTACGACGCGGTAGCAAAGGCCAAGGAATAAAAGATGGCGGGCCGCGCACCATTCAGCCTCGAAAGAAAAAGTATCGGTGTCTTGTGCAACGATCTATGCGCATACAACACACGCGAATATTTCCTCGAGCCGCGCACGAAATCTATCCAGGAGGAACGATGGCGATCGACGAAAGCCAGCCGCGTGTGTTGGCCTTCCACCGTTTCGATTCGTGAACGGGAATCGTTTTGTTTACCGATAAAATCAATTCCAGACAGGTCGCTGTTCGAACTTCTCCCCGAGTCGTCGCGCCTGGAGAGATATTCAGGATCTTCCGTGTGTAAATGTCAAGAGGTGTATTGCAGCAAGTACAATTGCGCGTTTCAGCCGACGCTACGTTCGTTATATCCACTTCGATATATATCGCCATTCGCGGGCTCTAAGATGGCTGTGTGCGTGTACACGCACGCGAAATTCGAAGGGAGAACATGGAAATAAACATCGGTCGTTACCTGTTTCGCTATCACCAATCGTTTGTCTCTCCGAAGACGATAACCCTGAATTCCTTGGTATAGTTGCTGAATCGAAAAACACTTGCAAGTTCCTTTCTAGAAATCGCTGCCTGCGCGGCCAACCGTTCCTCTCGCTGGTAAAACTCGTGCTGTCACCTCTCGGCAATATCCAGCAGCGTTCGAAAGGATTTTACGACGCAGGATTTACCATCTTTCTAGAATCGATCAAATAGAACCGTATGCATACCCATTTCCGTTCCACGTTCGATATTTTTCTAATATTTTATACCTAGACCGTTACTTTTTAAGGTTATGTGAGAATTTTCGAATACGAGTACACGGGAGGGTTAGTAAACATTTCATTTAAGGAAAATAGAAACGTGATACGATTAAAAGAAAATTTCAATAAGTATGTTGGGAATCGTATCTGCGTTTCGTTGAAAAAAATTCGGTGGGGGGAATTTGGGAGAGGAGGGGAGAACGGCGGCAAAAGAAGAGTCGCGGAGTTCGTATTCGGCTCCTGCCGAGCAGTAGCGCCATCCGGCAAAGTAGCCGGAGAGCGAACTAAAAGAGTCGAGGAGCTTGTCTGTCACTTGTTGCATCGCCGTCGGCCTGACGTTCGTTCGCTCCGGGCCCGGCGTGCTCTTACCGGTGCATTCTCGTGATTTTTTCATTTTCTACGCTCCTTTTACCCTTCGTTATCGTACTTTCGTTGCATCGAGTCGTTGAATTTTCTTCTCGGCAACGGTGTAATCTATTCGTGTGGAATCTCGGCGAGAAACGGGTTGTCAGTGTCGCGTGTTTTTTTCATCTGTGCATCCTTGGATGTGCATCAAAATCTCCAGCTCTCTCGCACGCGTGCAACGTGATCGTTCATCATGGTGAGTAAACAGTGGGAATTGGCGTGAATCCAAATCCACGAATTCGTCGGTGGTTTCTTACACGGGGGAAAAAAGGTTCTCGCTCTATATATCTGCTATATGCTCGACCCGCATTGGCGGGTAACTTGAAATCGGTTCGAATCTCGGATCGCAGCCGATCGTGATTTAATTGGTATACCGTTACCGATCATTTGTAGATACTCGGTTCGAAAAATCGAACTCGGTTGTGCTTGCCAGGCTCGCGTACCCGCGTAAAATGCGAAAGAACGCCGGAGAATACGACAGGTTTTTCGTATGCACGACGAATCTCATTGCTCCTTCCGAGAAAAGGGAGCACAATGGCTGCGTCCAATAGGTGCGATCGTGCGTGCATAAGCAATGAAAAGGAGCACTGACTCCTTAATGCCATCTCGCTTTATCGTCAACGGTTCTTGATATCGTCGGAAAGAATTTAGGATTGGAGTTATCTGGAGGAAAAGGGATTTCGTGCTAACATTTTGCTTGAGTTTTCGCGATCTCTCGGTGTCTCGTTGAACTCTGTGAATAGTTTAACTCGTGCCTCTGTATCGGTTGTGTTCCGCGTTGCTCTCTGCTCTCTCTGGGTCGCTCCTTTGTTTCCTGGTCCGATACCTCTGTACTCCGAACGCGATGGACGCGGTACTACGTCCATTTCTCCGTCCTCTCTTTCTCTCTTCCCTATCCTGCTCGCCCTCTCTTTCTCCTCCTACTCCTCCTGCCGCTGCCGCTGCTTCGTCTCATTCTCGCAGGCAACTCGAGTACGGGCGTTCTCTAGAAACCAGTTTCCAGCTGTCAGCGTCCAGTTTCTCGTACGCGCGGTCTACGTGTATGTACGCGCATACACGCGGTGTATGCAATAATTTTTCGTTTCGCGGCGCTCGCGCATATGCAGCGGTCTGACCCACGGCAACCTCCAGCCACCGACCACACGATCACGCTCGCTCCGTTTCGTGGTCCTCCTATCGCTTTTTGGTTCAAGGGAAAAGAAGGCACGATCGAAGGACGATCGGTGGCGCGCGGCCCTGACGGGTATGGTATTGGTTAATCGGTGGGCGCGAAATAAAGCAGAAGAAGCAGTCCGCGCTTGGAGAAAAGAGCTCGCCTCGACCGAAATAATTTTCTCCCCTAACGAAAGTCGAAGGGCGCGCGTCTGGACCGAAATAGGCGGATGTACGGCGAGGAGAGGCGAAACGTGACGGGACAAACTCTGCTTTTACGTTCTCGAATTCATTCATGGGAGCGAGACGGTTCGGCTGACAGGAAGAGACCCGAAAAAGACGCAGAGAGAGCGAGTGCGTGCACGAGAGGGGGTGGGCTGATTCAAGTGTCGAGACTTAAATCCGTCGTGGTCGTTCTCGTTTCGTGCCGGGGGAATACCGTGTCTTCGACCGTTGTGTTTACTCGTAGCTGCTGGCTTCTCTTTGCTGCAAGAGCAGCCACACGGTTCCCTGAAATCAAGAGGATAGGAATGGTTCGTAGTCGAGAGAATCTACACGGCAAAGTATGCGGGGGAACAGATGGTCCGTTGAAGGTGGAGGCGGATCAGGCCGAACCTCGTGGGACCGTAACTGTCCCTAACTAGGGACTGCTCCCGTGCTTTGCGGGGTATTCTTACGCGCAGGTATCCGGCGAAAAGTTTCCGCATACCTGCGCACCTCGAGAATCGTAGTTCCAGGAATTTACCGAAATTTTACCGCCTACTCGAATATTCCAGCTAAATTTAATCGGTAAATAATACGTCAAGTTAAAGAATTCGTTCTTTTCCCATTGATTTTCTACGTTAATTTAAAAGGCAATTTTAATTTATTTAAAAGAAAAATTGAGTCGTTCTTTGGAAAGATGTACATACTTATCAATCAAAATCGTGTTTTGATAGATATTTATTTTGAACTCGATACATTATTTTCAAAGTTTATTCCTTTTTCTTTGCAAAAGTGTATCGTTGACGAAAGACTTGTGCAATTGATATTGTACAAAGTTCGCTTTTACCATAGAATGAAATTATAAAAATGCGATAATTGGAGAAAGGGCTTATCTCAAGAAATGACTTTGTTTCAAAGAGATTATAGTTAGGGAAAAGATAACGTGGTAGTGCATGGAATATTTGAAAATTAAAAATTTATAAGCTATTGCAGTGAGATATATGGAAGGTATATAAATATAAAAATGTGTTTATATTTTTAAATTTGAGTAGAGATAGAGAGGCTTTAAGTAGAGATGGCTTTATTCGAACGTTTAGGTACATTTTCACTGTACTTGCTCTTCTGCTCTATTGTGGTTTAGATCTACACGTGCAAGATTGTACGGCAAAATCATAAATTCAACGAGTGTTCAAAGTACATAATTGAATTTGGGCTGCCAGGGACAAGGGAATTCACAAAAATGAAGAAAAGGAATTTTAAGACGAAGTCAAAGTGAAAATTTATATTTTATATTAAGTTAGTAATTAGTATTTGCGATTCATATATTTATAAATATCGTTAGTAAGTCTTTTCACTCCCAGGAACCCTAAAAAGAGATCGTTAGGTACGGTCCTACATGAGCCCGTAGCTCTAAGACAACAGTCACTGCCACTATTCGATAATTTAATTCACACCCTTGGTATGTCCTAACCTGTGTTATAATATTGCGGATGGGTTATCACTAGAATTACCAAACCAGTCAAAACCACCAGTTTTTCAGCTACTAAAAACGTATAGTTACTTCTGATAAAAATAATATTGAATTTTATTCAGACAGAAACGTGCATATATATGCGTGTGTGTGTGTGTGTGTGTGTATTTATTATATAATTGCAATTACAGGTTAAAGTAATGAACTCCACCTTTTGAATTTTTTAAAATTTTAACGTCAAAGTGTTTGATTTATTCTTAACTTTTGATACTTGAAATGAATTTTTATTCGTTTGACAACCGCTTAACTCCACAAAATAGAAAATAGGAATTCATTTCAAATATCAAAAATTGGGAATAAATTAAATACTTAGGCATTAGAATTTTGAAAAATTCAAAAGATGGAGTTCATTACTTTAACCTGTAATTGCAATTATTATTACTTATATATATTATATTTAAATTTATAAATATAGAAAAAGAAGGGAATGACGAATTTCTTCGCAAACACCAAATAACGATTTTATTCAAGGAAAAATTATTCGTTATTTATAGATAACAATTTTATTCGAAGAAAATTAGTTCATGGTTTACCCAACTTTCCTTAAAATATTAAATATGGCCTTACGCGACGGTGCGATGATGCGATATACGATATTAAACTAAACAGCGGAACAGTCATGTATATTTACGTAAGGGTGTTTCAGCACTGTTAAAGATACGAAGATAACGATCGATTAACGATGACAGGCTCATGTGATTCCGATTATTGCGAGCAAAAACAAATACCGATACGATTGGAATAAACACTCCGATTCGTAAATTTATTCCTATAAATATACATTTAATAAAACTAAACACCTTATCGATAATATTATCGAAATATTATCACACGCATAAGAAAAATTCAATACATTAGTAACAATTCTTGTACTAATATCTTTACACGCACAGTAATTATTTTTCCAACAATTTATTCACGAACTTTTCACAAGTTTTTAATAAGTTTCTATTCAGACGATGCTCGATGCCGATAAGAGTGCGCGTGTCTACGCACGTTACGCAACGAATCACGTTTCCTCGCGTAATTGTACGCTTTAGGTTTACACACGTTAACGTATAGTCGAAGATGAGTCTAGACGGCGAGCACCTAACCTTCAATTAAAAATTTCACACCGCGAACGTTTTCCCGCTTTTCCGCCATCTTTGATAACACCTACGTTCCATTCGCCGTCCCGCCTCCCCCCCGAAAACGGATTCAGCGTATTAGCCTGCAATAAAGGATCGCAGCGATTCGTTCCGCGAATATATTACGTCTCGAAGAACTCAACGAGATAAGCGAGCTTCGCAGTTTCTTATCGATAATAACCGGTCGGTGTAACCGTTTCTGATCGCTTTCTAAGCCCGATCTCGTGTTTTCGAAAACGTGATCTCGTCGATAAAGCGGCACGTTACAGCCGTCGATACCGCGTTGTTCGCGTTGTTGCACAAGCAGTCGTTTACCTTGCAGCTAAATCGCGACACGGTTTCCCCCGCTCTTGTCGCCCGGCAAATTGTATTCGGCCTGGGCTCGGACGAGACAAAAGCTGGCGAACGGAATGCTCGAAACTAGGTAGACTGCTTTTGCCGGAACACCGTTCCGTTGGTCTCGCGCGATCGAGAAGACCCGAGAGGACCCGAGACCGCTGTATATTATCCGTGTCGAGGTCAGAAGAGAAGACTCGTTTTATTCGCGAAAGGTGATTACGTCGAGAGAATTCGAGACGTTCGTAATAGAGAAGGGACACACGCACACTGGCGGAGGAAAGCAACAGGGACTCGTGGCTCGATCGGTATCAAGGGCGATGGTTACCGATGCACGGATCGATATTACCGATAGCACTCGGGCTCTCACAGTTGGGAGTGTCGAAAACGAACGCGAGGGATACGCGGGAAACGAAGTGGACGTTCCGAGTATAGCTATATTAGCTACAGTTTTTCGCCCGGTAGCCGTGATTCCCTCTCCCCACCAGTTACGCCGAGTATTGGACTCGGAGAGAGACAGCGAATAAGTTTTCTCGGAGTTTCTCGCTCTAACTCCTAAATCGCGCGATAGAGGGCAGGGAAAGAAGACGGATAATTCTGAGAAATTCACCTCGGCCAGCTGCAGCGGTAAGGTCTCGCGGCAGCGAAACGGTTACTAGTGTGTATCTCGGCGGCCAGTGAAGCTTAAACGCATTGAGAGTCACTGAAGAACGGGCCGCTGATACGACGATGCGTCATAAGTAAATACGCGCGTACCTGTAACTCGTTATCGGCGTTACCGTGCTCCGTATTGGATAGAATCATCTACTGGCGATCAGTCGGTTAGGGAGCGAAACGAAGCGTGTC